CTATGCACTTGCCCCTCTACCATATGAACACCTTCGGGCCATCCGCGCCTCCTGGCCTACGGTAGTAGCCCGCCTCGTCGCCAGCCCACCATCACACCCACCTGCCCAAATGCACCCCGCCCGACCCAACAACAAATCCCAGTCATGCCGCACACGTTGTCCTGCCATGGAGCTGCGGTTGCCGCGTCTTGCGTCTGAAATTCATACGCTGTCCTCGTCTTGAGTTGAACCGCAAGGCCGCCGTTCAAATTCCAGACAGAGATCAGCATGACGTGTGAGTCCCCTCCTCATCTTGTCATATGCGATCCTTGCCACTTTCTTCTGTAGAGGTATTGGAAGAAGAGGAGTGGACGAACGTAGCGAGAGAGAAACCGAAGCACATGAACGAGGCGTGAAGGAGAGAGAGAAAGGCAGATAGAAAGGCGCAGAGACGGGGATGCAGATGGGCAAGGAGGCAGAGGAGGCAGCGGAAGAGAGAAAGAGAGACAGAGACAGAGAAAGAGAGAGAGAGAGAGAAAGAGCGAGAGCGAGAGCAAGAGAGAGAGAGAGAGTGAAAGGCAAGAGCACGCACCGCATTGATCCTCCGACGCCGCGATATCTTTGTCGCGGCATGGACCCTCTGATGTCGTGACCCTTCCCCCCCCCAAAGAACGGGCCTCTCCTCCCGAACATCGCTGCCCCGATGCGCAACACGCAACGCGTATAGCAGGCTGAAGCGGAGCTCAGCACGGAGTGCTAAACGCACGTTTGGCGCGGCACGGTCGCCACAGCGTGGGCCGACACGCTGAACCCAAACGCGGCGTGTTGAGACGGACGCTTTGAACACGGCACGTGCTGCGCTTCACAACCGGGCGTGCAGCTGAGATTATCCAAAATCGCTTCCCGACGGCCCTCTGGGGCGGCGGGGCCCCGGAGGCCGCAGAGATGGCTGGCGGCCACAAAAGCCCGCCGCAGCGGCTTTTTCCGCGACCCCGGAAAGGGAAGGGGCCCAGGGACACACAATGAAAGAAGTACACCCCAAGATCCCCCACAGTTTTCCAAACTTTCTGGGTGTTCGTCTTCCCTCCCACTTCCCGTATTTTCCACATGTTCCTTGAAATCGGTGATTCGTTGCGTCTGTGTGGTAAGACGAAGCCAGGGCGAGGATGAATTCGGGCGAGGATAAGATCGGGAACTCTGAGATCCGGCGGCTCCAGAAGATGGCTCGGGCGCCGCGGCCTTCTCAGAGCGTTCCGAATCGGTCTGAGAGCGTTCTGGAACGCTCTGGAACGGATCATCCTCGTCCTAGCCCGTCCGCTGTGTGTTGCTTTCCTCCTGGAAAAATGCCTGAGGCCACCAGTCCCGGCCTGGTCCATCCCGGGCTCAGCGGCCTTCGGATGTTCGTTAACTGACGGGGCTGGGCAAGAAGTGCTGTTTTCTGTTTCCTGCCTACGGCCTGGCTCCATACAAGTGGCACGCGTGCCATGGCTCTTGCACCGAAAAAATGGGGAGGAGGCGGAGGGGGCGCGCTGGCTGGTGGGTGGGGGGGATGCGGACGGGGCGCGCGGGACGGGGGGGAGCGGTGCCGTGCCGAAGTAAAAGGGTCAGGGCGGAGGGGGCGGTGCCGCGCCGAAACAAAGGAGTCGGGGCGGAGGGGGCGCGCTGGTTGGGGGGCGGGGGGGTGCGGAGGGGGCACGGGCGGAGGGGTCGCGCCGGCTGGTGGGTGGGAGGATGCGGAGGGCCAAAAGTATGGGGTCGGGGCGAGGTGGGGGCGTGCCGAAATAAAAGGGGCCGGGGTGGAGGTGGAGCTCTGGCTGGAGGGTGGGGGATCTGGAAGAGGCGCGCGGGATGCGGGGGCGGCAGGGGGCACGCGGGATGGGAAGGGGGGGCGAGCCGTGCCGAAATGTAGGGGTCGGGCCGGAGGGGGCGCGATGGCTTTTGCGTGGGGTGATGCAGGGGGGGGCGCGCGGGATGGGGGGGCGGTGCCGTGCCGAAGAAGAAAGGTCGGGATGGAGGGGGGCGCTGGCTGGCGGTTGGGGCGATGTGGAGGGGGGGGGGGGGCAGCGCGGGATGGGAGGGGGGCGGTACCGTGCCGAAATGAAATGAAACGATCGGGCCAGGGGGGGAGCGGTGCCGTGTCGAAATGAAAGGGGTCGTGGCGGAGGGGGCGCGCTGGCTGGCGGATGCGGGGGCGCGGAGGGGGCGCGGGCCGGAGGGGGCGCGCTGGCTAGTTGGTGGGAGGATGCGGAGGGTCTACAGAAAGGGGAGCGCGCTCTGGCTGGTGGGTTGGGAGGGCGCGGAAGATGCGCGCGGGATGGAGGGGGCGGTGCTGTGCCGAAACAAGGGGCCAGGGCGGAGGGGGCGCTCTGGCTGGAGGGTGGGGGGATGCAGAAGGGGGGGCGCGCGGGATGGGAGGGAGGCGGTGCGGTGCCAAAATGAAGGGGTCGGGGCGGAGGGGGCGCGCTGGCTGGTGGATGGGGCGATGGAGACGGCGCTCGGGATGGGGGGGGCGGAGCCGTGCCGAAATAAAAAGGTCGGGGCGGATGTGCGCGCTGGCTGGTGGGCGGGTTGACGCAGAGGGTGCGTTCGGGATGGGGGGGCGGCGCCGTGCCGAGGGGTCGGGGTGTAGGGGGCGCGCTGGCGGGTGGGTGGAGCGAGGCAGATGGGCGCGTGCGGGATGGAGGGGGGGCAGGGCCGTGCCGAAATAACAAGGGCGGGAAGGGGGCGCGCTGGCTGTTGGTCGGGGCGATGCCGCGCCGAAATAAAATGGTCAGAACTGTAGACATCCTGTGCAAGAGAATCAAAGGGCCTGGGCGGAGGGGGGGATGCGGGGGGGGCGCGCTGGAAGGGGGGGGCCGTGCCGAAATAAAAGGGTCGGGGCGGAGGGGGCGCGCTGGCTGGTGGGCGGGGGGGCCTGGGGGGCGCGCGTGATGGGGGGCGCCGTGCCGAAATAAAAAGGTCGGGGCGGAGGGGGCGCGCTGGTTGGCGGGCGGGAGCACGCGGGCTAGCGGGTGGCGGATGCGGACGGGGGCGCGCGGGATGGGTGGGGGGGGGCGGTGCCGAAAATTAGCCTGGCGAAGGACCCAACCATATGCAGTTGTGAATACCGCAAATATGAATATCGTTTTCGGTGGCGCTACCTCTGGGTAGGGGAGACGCACGCGAACACCCCCACTGGGGCCTTCGGTGGAGCTCCCTATGGGGCTACGAAACGCTGCCGTGGGTGGGGGAACCGCATGCGGGCACCCCCACTGGAGCCTTCGGTGGAGCTCCCTATGGGGCCACGAAACGCTGCCCTGGGTGGGGGAACCGCATGCGGGCACCCCCACTGGGGCCTACGGTGGGGCTTCCTATGGGGCTACGGAACGCTGCCCTGTGTGGGGGAACCGCATGCGGGCAGCCCCACTGGGGCCTACGGTGGAGCTCCCTATGGGGCCACGAAACGCTGTCCTGGGTAGGGTGAACCGCATGTGGACACCCCCACTGGGGCCTTCGGTGGAGCTCCCTATGGGGCTACGAAACGCTGCCCTGGGTGGGGGAACCGCATGCGAACACCCCCACTGGGGCCTTCGGTGGAGCTCCCTATGGGGCCACGAAACGCTGCCCTGGGTGGGGGAACCGCATGCGAACACCCCCACTGGGGCCTTCGGTGGAGCTCCCTATGGGGCCACGAAACGCTGCCCTGGGTGGGGGAACCGCATGCGAACACCCCCACTGGGGCCTTCGGTGGAGCTCCCTATGGGGCCACGAAACGCTGCCCTGGGTGGGGGAACCGCATGCGAACACCCCCACTGGGGCCTTCGGTGGAGCTCCCTATGGGGCTACGAAACGCTGCCCTGGGTGGGGGAACCGCATGCGAACACCCCCACTGGGGCCTTCGGTGGAGCTCCCTATGGGGCCACGAAACGCTGCCCTGGGTGGGGGAACCGCATGCGGACACCCCCACTGGGGCCTTCGGTGGAGCTCCCTATGGGGCTACGAAACGCTGCCCTGGGTGGGGGAACCGCATGTGGACACCCCCACTGGGGCCTTCGGTGGAGCTCCCTATGGGGCTACGAAACGCTGCCCTGGGTGGGGGAACCGCATGTGGACACCCCCACTGGTGCCTTCGGTGGAGCTCCCTATGGGGCTATGAAACGCTGCCCTGGGTGGGGGAACCGCATGTGGACACCCCCACTGGGGCCTTCGGTGGAGCTCCCTATGGGGTTACGAAACGCTGCCCTGGGTGGGGGAACCGCATGTGGACACCTCCATTGGGGCCTCCGGTGGAGCTCCCTATGGGGCTACAAAGCGCTGCCCTGGGTGAGGGAACCGCATGTGGACACCCCCACTGGGGCCTTCGGTGGAGCTCCCTATGGGGCTACGAAACGCTGCCCTGGGTGGGGGAACCGCATGTGGACACCCCCACTGGGGCTCGGTTGAGCTCCCTATGGGGCTACGAAACGTGTGAGAGGTGTTCCGAGAGCAGAGGCAAGGAGGGGGAGGAGGGAGGAGGGGGAGGAGGGCGGGAAGGAAAGAAGGAAGGAAGGAGAGGAACGCGGGGCGCCGTCTCTTCAAAACGAGGACCCAACACCACAGGATGGTTGGGAACAAAAAGTCTGGGCTGAGCGGGCGCGCTGGCTGGCGGGCGGGGGGGGTGCGGACGGGGCGCGCGGGATGGGGGGCAGGGTGCCGTGCCGAATGTTTGGTCGGGGCGGAGGGGGCGCGCTGGCTGGCGGGCGGGCGGGGCGCGGAGGGCGCGCGTGGGATGGTGTGGGCGTGCCGAAATATAAAAGAATCGGGGCGGAGGGGGGCGCGCTGGCTGGCGGGTGGGGGGATGGCGGCATGGATGCGGGGGGGGGGGGCGGCGTGCCATTTATTTATCTATTTAATTATTCATAAATATATATGTATCTATAAATATATATATATATATATATATACATATACTATTGTGGGCGAGAGGATGCGGAGAGGGAGCGCGGGATGGGGTGGGGCCGTGCCGAAATGAAAGGGTCGGGGCGGAGGGGGCGCGCTGGCTG